ACCGCTCCAAAATGTCAGCAGCCTCAGCTGTCCTGTGCAGGGTCCACTTTCTGCCGTCTCAAAACAAGATCCTGATGTGATCACATGATGCCCCCCCCCTTCCCAACGCTCATATCTTGCCCTGATATAGCCACTGCACCAAAGATGAGGACCGTCCAATCATGGGGCAGCTGTAGGTTTAGAAGTGGACCGAGTACAGATGGAGGGTAAAAATAGCTCTGGGGCTGGCGGGGGCAAGCGAGTAGGGGGGTCCGATTCTCTACTCTCATATCCCCCTTTTCGTCAGTTTGCTCCAAAAGGAATGCACCTGCTGTGCGCCCCCTCCCACGCCCCCCTAAATCCTGCCCTTCTCCATGCAGGGCGTAATACCAGCACATAATCAGAGCGCTATTAGCCGGTCACCTGTTCGGCTGCGCCTCCCAAAGTAACCAAGCTCGCACTCGTACCTTACTTAGAGCTGCTAGGGGATCTTTATTGCTTAACAGTGACACTCATACAGCAAATGTGGAGTATTTATAAAGCAGATCAGGCTCTGCAAGGCAGCCCCCACTTGAACATAGCTGTACTATTGCCGCACGTTGTCCGCTGCAGATCGCTACAGAGGGCCCCGTGATGCTGTGTTTCGTCACATTAGAATCGCAAATAAGTGGCAGGCAAGCCCTCCTCGGCCACCCTGCGTCCCGGCGACCCAGCGGAAGCAGAACCCCTATCAGACTCCATACATCACCTACTGGTAATTGCTACACGACTCCCAGACATTTGACTCCAGTGTGCACGGATGATTATTGTTATCCATTTCTACTGGAACATTTTATGTATTCTTGTGAGGGTGCTGACAAAGGAAGTGTAGAAAAAAATTGATAATGCTATGGCTACCCTTCTCACCAGGCCAGGGAGACAATGAGGGAGAGGAGACAGGTTCAGCGGGAGGCAGTCAATTGTTATTTTGCCCTTTACAGTGTGTATTATGCACGGCACATCACGTTAGAACACGCTTTTTTTGTTACGTGGAGATGAAACAACAGTCATTGCTGTCTGGGCTTCCGTCGGGTGAATATCAATGTGAGCCTTCCGAAGGCTGTCGTGTGCTCTGTGACTGACGTGATTTTTTGTCCTCACGGCACCGAGGGTGCGATTCCGATGCCGCCCAATGTTTTGCTAAAGCTGGTAAAATGGAACCAAATCACCTCTTCAATGGATTTGGTCCCCTTCAACCAGCTGTAGCTATGCATTGATGACTACAGGACCGATGGGATCAAGAACGGCAGAGCAATCGGTTTTCCCACGATGCATTGGGTGACTTGTAAATAAAATGTTGTTTTTTTTCCACTGTATCATCAGCCCAGTTGAGCTCTACCATTCTTATGTCAGTTTCTTACAGGTGACTTAAACACTGATTTGGTTATCAGGGTGGAAACCTATATATTTTGCTAAAGAGATAAGGTGTAAGCAAGAGTTTTTTTCTGATAAATAAAGAAGTAAAATTGGAACGCTTCTTGTATGTATTGCCTATATGCTGAATATCTGACATTAATAATAATAATAATAATAATAATAAAAACACAATAATAATAATAATAATACAGTAATGATTGTTTATACAGTGCTTTTCAAAACTGAAACAGGTTAACAATACTTTCGATATACATATAATATGTATGTATATATATATATATATATATAAATATATTATATACGGTTTTTCGTTTTGACTATTGATAAATGAAAGGCCGAATGAAAAGGCAGAATCGAAGGGCACGTATGCCCCCGCAGTCATGTGATCATGAGATGAAACCATCCATGTTAATATAAACAGGCCTGGGGCTCTTCGGCAGGGTAAACAAATGGGGGGATCTTTGAGGAAGCGCAGAGATTCACCCCCTGGGAGCTGAGCTGCTTGTCCTGACACGAGCCGCTTCTCCCGTAACCCCCCCCCCCCCCACACACACACACACACACACACACCCCCCACCCTTTTCAAACAATGCGAAGGGGGAGCAGATGGAAGCCAGATGTGCAAGAGTCACCCACCCCATAACTGCTGCCACCCGACAACATCCTCACGCTCGAACCAGGCTCCGAACGCCGACCTGCTGCGTACCCAAGAAAGGCTCAGTCATCCTTCTATGCGCACACGTGGGACGGCGGCATCTCCACTCAAACATTTTATTTTTACAGCAGTTGCTTTTACCTAAAAAAAAGCAGGGGGGGGGGCAGTTCCTGGAACAATAAGGGTCTTGCTCACGGGGCCCAATGGTGGCAACCTTCTGATGATAGGCACCGGGTCCTAAGCCACTGAATCATGTGCTGATCCCTCGGTCAGTAGCAGACATGAACAGGCACCAGCATATATAAAAACATAAACATGCACAGGGAGGTCCCTTCCAGGCACAGCAGTGAGAACATAATTGAGTGTGACTGATAGACCCTGTACCAGCTTTGGTTAGTCTTTAGAAAAATTTATTTGATTTGTCTCTCCGGTTAGTTACATGTGTTTTCCTGTCTGCGCAGTATGTTCACATAGGGCTTTAAGGAGAGGACCCGTTGATGCAGTGGCGTGTCGATATGTGTGCACGGCTACAGTTATAGTGGCCCCTCATTGGCTGGCTAGCTCTCGCAAAGGGCTCCTTGATTGGTGTTCACAACCAGAGGAACAGGAAGTGTCCTGCAGGGAGAAGTGGCTCTGTGATGTACAGACGGGAGAATTAAAAAACAAAGGGAGAGATAAGGGCTGCGTCTGCTGACAGCCAAAGCAGGGCCTACTTAAAACGCCTTTTTGGGTGACAGATGTTTAAGTGCACAGTCTATAAGGCTGTATATGGTCAAATGGAGATCCCCTGGCCTCTGGAAGGAGAGCTTGATTGCAAACACACCCCACAAGCCAAGTACATTACTTTATGAGGGGAAGTATTCTTCTCAATGGCGTATTCAGGGGTGGGGCCACAGGGGCACTGGGTCAAGCTGAAAGCTGATTGGCTCTCGAAGTGTCCCCTATCAAGTCTCTCACTGATTCAAAACACAGCTAATGACTGGCCCATTGGTATGAATCACAGCCCCTCTTATGCCCCCGACCTTAAAGAATCCTAGAATTATGCCTGGTTCCTCCCATTGCATGAGTGCTTTGCATGCCACAGTCTCATAGACTCTAGCAGCTGACCCCCGCCAACACCCCCCTCCTTAGCCAGAGCGAGAAATGTAAGTAAACAAAACTGCCCAAAATTATGACAAAAAAAGAACAGCTCAGTAAAACGCGAAAGTGACTGCTGACTTACTGCTTAAACGGACCTCCAGGCACAATCCATCTGTCCTCAACTGTCACATGCGTGCAAGTGCCCCTCTCCTGCCACACACATTCACACTGTCTACCTTTACCTAAAAAGATTCTGTCCATTTTTAAGATTGGGGGGGGGAGGGGATGACTAATTGCCCCATGTAATTTATAGCGCACCAAAGAATTTAATCTGTTACATAAATTACAGGTAATAAATTAAAGTTTCCTCTGATCCTTGTATATGCTGAAAAGCTCACATACGCCCATCCATCTTCCAGGCGTCTATCCTGCTCCGGGTCGGGGAGTGGGATGGAGGTAGCCTGTCCCAGCTATCACAGTGGTGGAGGACGTCCCAGACAGGATGCCAGTCCATGTCAGTGCACAAGCACACAATCAAATCATATGGGTAATTTAGCGATGCAAATTAGCCTAAATATGTGTCCTTTAACAGCAGGAGATAACAATGACACTAACGTCACACTCCCAGAGCAGGAGCAATCTAGCCTTGGAGGTATAAGGCAAAGGTGCTACCCTTGGATATACCACAACCACTGCTATATCATAAGTGTAATTTTAGGCTCATTCTACCGATGTTGCTATGCTGACGTTAACAGCCATCTTAAATAGATGCTCCCCAGGTTACGATGATACGCGTTACGATATTTCGGCTTTACGACAGGCAAATGTTTTTCACTTTCAATATATTACACAATAAATTACATGAGATATTCAAAACTTTATTATAAAGTAGGTTTTGTGTTAATGATTTTGCCTAACTGTAGGTTAATGTATGTGTTCCAAGCATGATTAGGGTAGGCTAGGCCAGGCTGTGATGTTGGTTAGGTTAGCTGTACTACCATAAAATGCATTTTTGTCTTCCGATATTTTCGCCTTTCGATAGGTTTATCAGGACGTAAACCCATCGTAACCTGGGGAGAGGCTGTAGTTATGATCCAATTAATGGTAGCATGTTACAGGAACAGTTCTGAAATAAGCCTGGAACGTTTATGCATACATACTGTACTGTGCAAAAGTCATAGCCACCCAAAGAAAATTTTAAAGCTATTTATCCGGGTACTAAGTGTAATTTTACCAGGAAAGGGCATAACTTAAAATTTTAATATATGCTAATGGACAAGAACACAATGAAAAATAACCACGATTTCTTCTGTTCTCCAGAAAGTTACTGATATCTTGCTGGATAATTTGAAGAACACCGCTTCAGTTCCCAAACTTCTCCTCAGGGGCAACCCAGCCATTTCATGCATTTGTTAAATTTCACTACCAGCTCACATAATTAATTAACCTAATTAGTTAAATAACTTGCAATATCGATTAGCCAAAAATGGTGCAGTAGTGCTCGACTTATCAAATACATGGACGTTGCAGCAAATACTGGGGTGACTTACACATAATTTTCTTTGGCAGCCTAAGACTTTTGTACAAAACTCTACATTCTTTCACACAGGATTTCTAGATAGAAGCCAGTTAAGATAAATAACACAAACAGAAAGGGAAAAATTATGTGCAACTGGACACTGTACTCCCCCCCCCCCCCCGCAAAACAAAAAAAAAACTATGATGCTGTGTAAGGGTGGAACAGTTCTTAATATAAAAATTAGAACCAGAGCTGATGCTCACTCAAGGTCATAAAGTCAATTTCAGTTGGATTAAAGGCATAAAACACAGCAGACATATCACTGAGATCAGCTTCCTCGAGGGATGGATTGATGAAGGAATGTGGGGGACCTGGGCTAAACCTGTATGAACGCTGAGCACACACACAGCTGGAGACTCAAACAAACAACCATCAGCAAACATATCACTGAGATCAGCTTCCTCGGGGGATGGATTGATGAAGGAGCCCAGAGGAACGGTGCGAAACCTGTATGAGTGCTGAGCGCACACACAGCTGGGAACTCAAACAAACAACCATCAGCAGACATATCACTGAAATCAGCTTTCTCAGGGAATGGATTGATGAAGGAGCCCAGAGGAACTGTGTGAAAACTGCATGAGTGCTGAACACACCCACAACTTGGGACTCGAACACTCAATCATTGAGGCAAAGGGCGAAGACACCAGAGTGTCATCATGTCAGAGTCAGAAATAAGCTTCTTCTTCAGATGTGCTGTAATTTTGGTTATTTTCTGTGGTTTGTGCAGTCGTCAATTAGTCTTACATTTAAATATATCAGGAAATTTAATAAAATATAGAAAACAGGCACAAAATGTTCTGAGGATGGCAAAGCAATTCTGTGCAGTGCAGAAAATATCATTAAGGCAGGAAGAACGTACAACAAGAAATATTTCGGCTGAAAGGATAGTCTGACACAGCTTTGAATCCTCTTATTCATCATAATTTTATGCCTCGTGAAATAAAAATCAAACGTTAAAAATATAATAAAATATTTTATTGCACTTCATTCAATTTTACTTATTAAATATTAATCCATTAGTATTAAAATTATAGCTTAAAAGACCTATCTAGGATTCTCATTACTGTAAATGACATATACAAGATTAAAAAACCACAAGAAAGACTGTTGAACGAAACGGCAATGAAAAGTTTATTTTGTCATAATTATGTGTTTCTATTAAATCCACTTCAATTCCATTTATTTCATATAGCTTTTCTCTCCACTGCAGCTTCGACTAATCTCAACAAATCAAAATTAAATCAAATACTGATGTATAATATTTAATATGATATATTTAATACAGCACATTCCTACAAGCAAGTACTTTTCAGTACTTCGTTTTTTTAAAGAGTACAATACTGAACAGGAAAAATACACTTAAAAATATTTTCACGAAAGGTGTTTCTACAGGGCTTGATGCAGTGGAAGATACTGGAAAATTAGGAACTGCCAGCATGAAATGTAACAGTGCACTTTAATCTGCAGGAAACAATCCATGATGAGCAACACATTTTCCATCAGGCTAAGCAGGCTCAGTGAGAAGCAGCAGTTTAGCTTGTAAACCAGGGTTGTGTTCAGGGGCGGGGCCACAGGATCATTGGCACCAGCTGAAGGCCGATTGGCTACTAAAGTGCCACCTCCCCTGTCACTCACTGAATCAAAACATATAATTGGCTAATGACACGGTTGTCCTCCCTTAAAAATGTAAATTACGACCTATCTTATGCCCCACACATTAAAAATCCTAGAGTCACCCCTGTGGCAAACCCATTTAAGAAGTATAATAGGCCGAGGATGCCCCAAGACAGGGCAAGGGCGGGTGATGAACTTATCCATTCACTCCTGCACCTTATTACAGCAACTATAAAACTGACTTCCATTTTTCCCTTCGTCCCAGAACACATACTAAACCTTGATGCCCTTTCAGATATTGCCCTTTCACCCATTTTATTTTCCTCTGTGTTTCTGCCAAGTATTTTGCTGTCATTCTTCGCCATTTTGTTAAAGCCTACTCCCCTCCTGGAGCAAAACAAATCCTCCAGGTTCAGTATCACGTGATTTTGTTCAGCACCCGACTCAGTGTGTATCAGGACACAATTTAATTTCTGAACGAATAACATCACAACTGAGGGCAGTCCTGCTGTACTAATGTCTGAAACGGTGCTTCCCTGTTGACCATTACGTTATGGTGAAATGCCCAATTTAGCCAGCGTGGAACAGATAAAGGTGCGTCTAGATGCTGGTGTGAGATATAATACCATAAACACAGATGTTTCTCAAATGGATTTCAGTAGATTCAAGATTTGCATGAATATTTGCAGTGAGCGTTTTTATTTTGTGTGCTTAAGTGGCAAGAAATATATGACAGCACCCCCCCAATACTGCCCTTGAAAATAATATGCAGTCGCCGCTGGTGAAAGTACGAGGAAGAGTAACAATAACCAAGAAAAACTGAAATAGAGCAATTAAGCAATAAGCCATAATGTGTTTCTACCTCAAAGCACCCTCGATGGCCTGGTGATGACCTAACCCTCAGTACATGCATGTTCCCTTATGCTCTGTGTGTTCAGAGATGTACAGTGGGTAAGCCCAATGGCAATTCCATTTTCACTTATGTGGATCAGCAGGTTAGGACACTTCTCAGGTCAGCAAATCTAGGGGTCAGCAGAAGGATTACACCATTCGGCCTCTGAGCAAGGTCTTTAACCCCCAATTGCTCCAATTCTAACCTCCCTTTGGATAAAAATGTTTGCTAAATAAATTGTTTAAAAATAAACACAAAGATCCAGGGTACACAAAGTTTGCTTAAGGAACACGATTATCCGCCTAGCTGCTGCTGACTTTTCCACATCCTTACCAGCTGTATCTGCTGTCAAGTCAGGCCCGTAATCCTGCTCCCACAGTTCTTGTTGGGACTAAGTGTTCTAACATTGAACGAGATGGGCAACAACTAACAAGCTCCCCTTCTGTGATATATGACTCTAACAAATCATCGTATACCAAAAGCTCAAGTACACCCAAACACACACACACACACACACACACACACACACACACAGAACCTGCCATTGCATGCTTCTGCCTTCTAAGTTCAAGTCAATATCACACAAGTTAAACACCAAGAAGTCTGTACATAGCCCTCAGGATAAGAATACTCTCTTCCTAAAAGTAGTAACAATACAGAACAGACAGGGAACATTAGCAACATACATTACCCTGAGTACCTTGTAACTTGGTTCTACATGACAGCGCCATCCTCTGGTCCCCTGAGCGATTGTTCATGTTCTCTTGAGTTACGTCTGAGCTGTTAGGACAGGGGTGGGCAATCTTATCCGCAAAGGGCCAGTGTGTATACAGGTTTTAGGGATAACCTTTAGGTCAGCTGTTAAAATCCAGAAGTAAGAACTCTTCATCCAATCAGTCTTCAAATTAGTAATCTAATTAGGGAATTGCAGTGAAGACCTGCATACACACCGGCCCTTTACGGATAAGATTGCCCACCCCTGTCTTAGGAGGTTAGGAAGCCCCTGCGTTTGTTGCCTGTGCATGAAAAAGCCTCCATTTGCTGATGTGATGTGTCCCCAGGGGTTAGGGCTTAGGTGAGCCAGTAAACCGGTGAATGCGAGCAGTTTTACGGGAGTCGCTAATGAACACTCACAGTTACATGCCAGTTACGTGGCCAAGAAGTGCCCGACTTTGGAGGATGGGGAGTATAAACTTAACACGCTGTGCTCAGTATCTGCAGTGACGGCATTACTTAAGCCTAAGCCTGAACGACACTCTGCTGCCTGAGGCTCTGCTCACTGCCGGACTCCTGCCCACCAATTTCCACACACTCCTCCTCTCTACACTGCTGTGAAGGTGTGTGTACAACCAGCACAAGGTTTTTCCATCCCCTTAATGGCCTGCGATGGCGCTGTTGTTCCTATGTCACCTTTTCCTACATTGTGTGCGGCTCTGCAGGTTGGGACTCCGTGCCCGTGATCAGAAGGTGACAATCCTATGGCCAGCAGAGTGAATTGAGTCCAGACCCTGTTGACCAATGTGGTACCCTACACAAACACCACCATCAGTGCCCTCCATGCACCCATGCCCCTCATAGGGGTGGGGACTGCCAGTGATTCTGCCCCAGAGGGGCATGGCTTTTCTAAGTTGGCACCTCCTCAGAAGTGCCAACTTTCTAAGTTGGCACCCTTGGTTGACCCTTGACCCCAACTACTGTAAGGGTGCTGGATGCTGGCTGACCCAAATTTTGCACTCTCCTGTACATATGCATGCGTGTGCCTCATGGAGAGCAAGACGGGACATGCGAAAGCTGCCCCAATTCCCACCGGGAATGAATAAAGTATCTCTCTTCTTTATTCCCTCAAAGATGAGCTTGTCTACATCGTAAAGGATCCTTTCATCCACCTCAGCTCTTTCTGATTCCTCTTTGTTGGTGTAATAAATGACAGGCCCCAGTTGTCAGTCGCTCTTCACTGTGACCCAAAACTCTGATCTCTGGAAAAGGAGGAAATCGTCTTCTGTGCCTGGCACATTAACCTGAACAATTATGAGCGCTGCTGGGGTCACTGGAACCACACAGTTAAAAAACTCATCGGGCACCATGGCTTCTGATTTAAATGATGGCTTCACAGTTTAAGAGAACGTATCTGCTGTTTCGTTATCAGCCCCAGGGACGCATTCTACAACGAAATGAAATTCACATAACAGGACAGCACACTGTGGCAGCTTCTACTTGCTATCTTTGAGGTTATGTTCAGTGGTCAGCCTGAGAGTCTTACATCTTCACTGCCCATAACCCTGTCAAATGCTCCCTCCATGTCTTGTGTTATTTTCACGCTGTCTTGCTACAAGAAGAAGAATGCGAGAAGCTTTTTCCTCCCTCAGGGCATCCATCCCCTCATCATCAAGCATCTATCTGGAGAACATATGTGTCCTTGAAGTGTAGGTAATGGAGTGTCTGCTCTGGTGAGGGCCTTCTTCACTACGCAGAAACCTCCCTCTACTTCTTCTGTCCACTTCTAACATGCCTCTTTCCAAAAACAGTCGACTCGGGGATTCTCTGCGAAGGTGTACATTTGTTATGAATGGGCCGTGCCAGTTTCTAGACCCAGAAACGACCGTATTTCATATTCTTTGGTGCTGGATCGGTTTTAATCGCTTTTCTGGGCCTCATTCAGTCCATAAAATTTAATCTCTCCTTGGGAAAACAAATATTTGTCAACTCGACTAGTGAGACTGCCTTGCTTTACCCTTCAGGACTAGGCATTGATGGAACAGGAGTTCTATGAAGAAGTCAATGATGTTGGAGCATATCAGTCATAAAACGATGAATGGATGAAGTACCCTTGAAGCTAATTAATACCACGATAAAACTATTTGGTTCCTTCAGTGTCACAAATGATGTATTCTTGTCCCTGACTTGCTCCACCACTGTGAAGGGTTAATAGGAACTGCATCCTGCCAGAGCAGGTCTAAGGTTTTTCTGGAAATTCAGGGGATCCGTAACAAGATGCGTGTGCTTGTATTGTAAAAATGCTGGTAAAAGCTGTCAATATTAAATCAAGTTGACTTATTTTCAGTGTAAAAAAAAATCTGCCTGGGGGAAAAATGCCAGGGATCTTGTGCTGGGGGCCGATGTTGTGATATGGGTGCTGTTAGCAGCACTAGCAAACTAGTGGAAATTGTGTAACAGGAAGAGTGGGAGCAGAGTCACAGAGCAGGGGGAGGACAGTTCACTGACAATGGGAGAGGAGGGTGTCTGTAAGCAGAGCTAACGAGGCTTTGAGTGACTCAGGTTATAGGCGTTTGGCTAAACAAGCAGCGTCATTTTGGAAGATTCAACGCAGCATGGAATCTCTGGGTCCCAGGCAGGCAGGGGCTGAAGGGCCAGAATTGTGTTCGTTAGGCTAAAATCTTTTGATCATGTGGAATCTGGTGGTTAGTGGATGTCACATTTGAAAATAATAATTAGAACACTGTTGAAGTGTCTACTGTTTTGTATGTTGGGTGGTAACACTCTGAAAGTCCTTTTCCTTAATGTCACAACTTAGCAGTACTCGCTCAGTAGCCTCAAGATTGAAGAATAGCTCGGAAATACTAATGAGCCCACTTTAAATTCTGTATAGCGCAGCCAACTAAATCACAATGAATCCAAATGTATGTTCGGACAAAACGATACAAGTAGGTCAAGCTTTGTTTCAGCAACATGTGAGATAAAGCATTATTATGGTCAGGGTCATATTGCACAATGACCATACTCTTCATGAACATTTTGTGCAGAAAGAGTTGAAGCATAATGACAGTTTGACAGTTAGGGTGACCTGGCCTCACTGACATATATTGTCATGCAGGTTGACGTTCTTCAAGAACATCTTTCAACATTTTTCAATCTAAAATACAGTTAAAGTTTGCAGTTGGGTTTTGCAGTTGTTCCCTTGAACTTTTCACCTGTAATGTCATAAAATAAAATAAAAATATTGGATCTGGTACAGCTATTACTTGGTTTCACTGAAGTATCTGAGTACCACTTTGAATACTGCACACTCAGAGCTCACAACAGATGCCTGGGGCGTCGCGGGCTGAAGCCCCGAATGAATCCAGACGAGTCCTGAATGATTTCTTTAGCTCAGATCTTTTAACAGCCATGCTCTGAGTCTCAGAATGCCCTGCATCACAGCATTGCTAGTCCAGGGCCACGTTTCCCAAAACCGTAGTGGTGCCATCATCATAATGTCAGAGAGAGAGAATTTAATATGACGGTCCTTGGACAGATCAGCTAAGCTTCAGTTGGCTTATGATCCTAGTGGCGTGCTTGGTTCACACTATAGCAAATAATAAGAAATGACAAGTCGACTGCTTAGCATATGGGTATCTAGATAACAGGAAATTATAGAAAAACACTAAAACAATTTTTATTGTTAAAAATAAAAATTATCTGTTTTTATTGGCCATGAAGTCAATAGGACTTCCTTTCTCACTTTCTCTGGTGGTCTAGTGATGCATTCTATGTTTACTGTGACATGCAAATTAAAATAATATAGGTGTTCTTCAAAGTGAAAGAAATCTTCCAAGAAGCTATTTGCTTTTCCAAATAGCAGCATTAATCTCTATTGTGAATGGAGGACTGTGGTAATACACAAACTTCAATGCCAGCGTATTAACGATAACAGAAGATCATAATGGTAATTCAGCTAATTCCTTTGAGAAGGGTCATACATAAAATAACTAAGCTCATGTTCAAGCACCTTTTTAAGACATGAATCACTCATTTACCGGGCTAACAGGTTTACTGGTGTGTGATTGATTTGCCTGGCGGGCAATCATATTTATATCCAATCCATAAAGTTATGCTTCCAAACTGATTAGCAGGGAAGCTTATAGAGTTTTATATCCAAATTTTACTCTGGCACTTTTCATAGTCTAAGCAAGATTTCAGCTTAATTTGGCTGGTTAATAGACACCATATTGTACATTTTTATTGAAATCCATGGGTCTGGACATATATGGACTTGTTAGTCAGGATCCAGCAAAATGTCTGGATAAGAGCGACGTACTATACCAGAAAAATAAGCAACCTTTCTCTTTAAAAGATCTGCCTTCCTGTAAAGCTGATTTTCTAATTTAGCATAAAGCCATGTTGAAGCACAGCAATCAGACAGTCAGTGACATAATGACATTAATCTTATCTGAACTGGGCTTGGAAGAGGCCACAGTGATAACCAATAAATCTCAGTTTTATTTTAGCTATATGTGTTTATTACTAAACTTTGTGCAATATATGTAACTATAAATCAGCAGTTACTGATTTATGTGGGTGCAACAGGTAGAGCATTAGGCCCCAGAATGCATTTGTTGGTATATAAATGACACAGAGATGCAGCAGAGCAGATTCCAGTTGTTGATGCAGGGTGTAAACTAATTTTTGCACTCCCATAGTTCTAGTTTCACTGCTTATGAGATCTATATATATATATATATATATATATATATATATATATATATATATATATATATATATATATATAATATATATGAATATTATATATATATAATATTCATATATATATTATTGTAATATTCATATATACATATTGCGCTGATTGTAAGTGGCATTATATTGTGGAAATTTAAATACTGATGCATCTTTCACTGTAATTTGTTAAATTTGCAACAAACAAGCTATGATGCTGAAGATGTTGATGATATTTTCCTATCAATTATGTGATAATCCTCCAATCCATGAGATTTTTGCACAGCACCATTAAGAACTTAGGAACTCCTGGCTCAGCTGTAAGAATGACCTGATGTGGTGACAGATGAACACAGGAGGAAATGGTGGAAGGGGCCACCCACAATGCACTGCAGGTCCGTGATGATGTAGCATGACCTGGCAGCTGGGGGCAGAGCCCGCCACACTGCAAAAATGTGAGATGCCCCACTGTCTCTCGCACAGCCTGGCTGAATTCTCAGCTTCAGCAGGTGGTGTGTCAGAAGGGTGCAGCACCTCCAGAGGTTAATATAGCTCACCATTAAGGCACTGGAGGGCTGGAAAGCAGCCAGGTGTTCTTTCTGGTACCAAGCAAATGGCAGATAATGCTAGAGGGAGGTGATGTTCCTGTACAACCATGGAGAGTGGATAAAAGAGTGTGCCAAGTCATTCCTTTAGGGCAGGGATAGGCAACCTTATCCTCAGAAGGCCAGTACGTATGGAAGTTTTTGGGATAATCTATAAGTCAGCTGTTCAAATCCAGAAGTGAGAACTCTTCAGCCAATCAGTCCTCGAATTATTTATTTATTAGGGAGTTGCAGCAAAAACTCACACACACACAATGACCCTTTCGGGATAGGATTGCTTACCCCTGCTCTAGGCGTATACCAATCGCACAGGCACCAGAAGACTTTGGTCCTTCAGAACAGCAGACAGTATACCGAGGGCATAGGTTTGGTTTTAACACTGATAAGGGTCAAATCAGCCCTGACCCTCCCGACCCCCTAAACACACTTGGTACTTCCACAATGTTGGTAGAGACATGTCCCTACCATCCATACCCAAATCTACACCTTAGCAGTATACCACATGAAACAGGTAACCAATAGGACTGGATGGGCAGCTCTACAACAAGGTTCATGGAAAGCAGACTCAGGTGATGCACCCTGGGGAAAACCAGGAACAGGAACCAGGGCACAGGAACCAGGGCACAGGATGCAGGACACGGCAATCAGGAAATGAGGCTGTAACACAAAAAAAAAACAAGAAAATCACAACAAACACAACACAAGATGCCAGTTGCGTGGCACACCAGTTACAGAAATCCAGCCAATCAAGACCATGAACAGAGAGACAAGACACCAGCTAAACCATGACAACTGAGGCAAGATGCAGCGGACTAGAACCACAAACTCAGAAGCATCACATCAGCACACAGAACCACAAATCTCGTGACACTGGCACCCCACTCAAAAACTGATAAATACTAGAATGGCAACATATTAAGACCAACCACAAAAAGCCAGAAACTATACTCCAAGCCGATCATTTAGCCTTATACTAGAAGAAGATGATGAGATTGATCTTCCAAGCAAGGCATACTGCCCAGTCAAAAGATTCAGAATCAACTACTTCCTGTTCAGAGGTCAAGGTCACATGGGCCTTCCTGAATCCCATGACTGAACACAGCACTGCTGTAACATCTAGGATGGACGCTGGATCTGCCTACTGTTTGACACCCCCCCCCCCCCCCCGTCCCACAAAGTTGAACTAATGTGTAATAGTAAGCTTACAGTTTCCTTATGCACTGGGCGACATGTCTATGGCTAATTTACCCACCCAGTGATCAAAGTGAGATATAATTAGTAAGGATGGTATAATGTGAGTAACAGGGATGATATATAAAATGTTCAACAGTGTTGTCAACATTCAGAAGTGCTCGCCTTGCAATAGTTATGCTCAACCTTGCTTGAAGTTTGACTGTAATATGCAATTACCTCTTTTTCACACCATTTGCACCCTACATAATAGCACAACCCTTAAGCCCTTGTTAATGGTAACTGAGGCATCTGAGAATACAGGGAGGGAGGCAGTGTGCTCACATGTGCTTAACCCACCACAAGGGCTGATCCTTACAAGTGTCTTGCAAAGTAGTGGCATTAGTGGCAAACCCCATAGTTATATGGTGAAGTAGTCAAGCTTGCCAAGAAAGAGTAAAGATTGGTTCGATTCAAAGGAGTGGCTCTATATTATGTATCCCCTAATATTGTGTTTGTAATGCTTTAGTCTTTGTTTCCCTTGTCCTATTGTATGTGAATGCTACCACTGTTATTCGTCGAATTGCTTAATAAACTGTGCTTCTAAAAAAGATAGGCTTCCTGATTGGCTACATGGAAAGCATGAAGGTTTATACAGCCAATCTAGATGTAAAGAAAAGTGGGATAATGGGGAGCAAGAGAGGAGAGCAATGAAGGAAGGAGGAATGGAAGACAAAGCAATAAGCATTTGTGGAGGAATTACGTGGTAAGGTGATTGAATATAATTATTTAGATTGATTGTGTGGATTTTGGTTTTTGCACCTGGTATGTTTCCTCTGTTGTTTTGTTTCACCCTGCATCATATTTCCATTTGTGCATTTTTCCAAAGATTTGGAATGTGCTGAAATGATGTGCTGGCAGTCTTCCACATTCTGCTCCAAAATGTCTGATGCAGTTTGAGATGAATGAGATAAAATAGCAGAACTGGCAAACAAGCATATATTGTCAGTAGGCACTTGGACGACTTCCTTTCCCAGGCAAGGTGGTCAGTAGTAGTCATCTTTCTGGGAGGGAACCAAACTAGTGTCTTTCTGCTCCATTACTCCTTCAACCTGAAGCCTTGCCAAGTCATGGAACAGCCTTCCCTCAGACAGAAATAGCAACATCTTCATGAACGCCAGGAGTTCAGGCATGCATGGGCATCTCGGCAACTTCTACATATATATGTACGTTTTGAAATGAATGGCTTGAATCAGGGTTATGCAGATAAAACCATCCTTTTTCTTACAATTTCTCACAGTGCATGGGTGTTTGTCTACAGATCTTCTGTTAATGTATTACTTCCGAATTACGATGCCTACTGCATTTCACTGGTCTCCATGCCCCGACCCGCTACCATGTTTCTAAGGTTAGGATGATTCCAAGGGTCCCTGAGTGAGGGGCCCGAAGAAATTTGGAACATAATTGGATTGGTCTGGGCCCAATATGATTTGCTTCCATGCTTTCAAAATCTCTAGCGGAGCCACCGCCTGCACTGTACTTAAACAGCTTTTTGTTGCTTTTTATATTATTTTATTCATTATTATTACATTTGTGTTGTGAGTTAATTACTTTTTTATGGACAGCAGATATTCACTTGGGGGGTCAGCAGAGTTATATCTTTTCATGTGTTGCTTGGTTTCTCTGTTGGCACAGTGTCACGGTACCAATTATAACACCGTAGTTTCACAAACCCTCTTAAAAAGATCGG